TTGTGGACTCAAAGTATCAGTAGGCAAGGTAGTTGTAGAGAAATAAGAGTGTTTGTTATCATCAAAATCATAATCCATGCATTCAAATTCGCAACAATCTCCCCCTTTTTGATGATGGTAAACATTATTGGTTAAATTTTTAGAAATAAAAATATTTTCTCCTAATCTCCCCCTTACTAGTATAAAACTTAAAAAATAGGGGTAATAAAAAATTTTGGTTAATTAAAAAATATAAAGATACAAATAAAAAAGTAGGTTCTTCCCCTTTGACATTATCAAAAAGAGAAGGAGCACAAACAAGTCTTAAAAAATGAGAAAGTTATCTCTTGATTTTATTTAAAAACTATGTAAGGAATGAATTGATAACACATAATCAAGAAAAGGTAAGAAATTTAGAAATTGTTAATCCAAGCTCAAGTTCTTTTAAAGGCTAAAAAACTTTTTAATCTAATATCTAAATCAAGGAATAAATTAGAAAAAAATACTAATTTTTCAAAACTCCTTTCATAAAATATATCTAATAGAAGAATAATATAAAAATTAGTGAATCAGGAATTATAATTTTCAAGCTTAAGTACTAAAAATATCAAGAGTTTTCTTGAGCTTTAAGTAAACACAGAAAAAGTAAGCATACTCTTTGTGGGCTCATTTTATGCCTCTTATCAATTTTTTGATGCACTTTACACATCTTTTACTTTTCGATACACTTTGTGTATCTTTCTCAATTTGGTGTCATTACGCATCTTTGGATTTGGCATCATTGGCAACTTTTTTTTTTTGATTTGGCATCATTTGCCATTTTTCTTAATATGCTACCTTTCTGAAATTAAAAAAAAAAAATAAACCCATTCTATTGATACAACGAACAACGTGATTAAGAAAATTATGAGGTAGATTTAGCAACTTACAAAAGATTCATATGCGATATATATAATGTAGGGAGATGAAAAAGTTTAGTTTCAAAATCAAATTTAAAATATGATGAAGATTTTAAATAAAAAATAGAATAACCACTTTTAGGAAATAGAAATTGAGAGTTAAAATCATGAGTTTCCTTTTTTTGACTATTTTTAGAGAAGTCAACCACAACTTACCTAATAATTCAAGAAAAATAAGAGGTAGATTTTTTTTATTTATTCTTTTATCTTACTTTTCATTTTCATTTTTTTTAAAAAGATGATGATGTGTGTGTTGATCAGAGAAAACACTAAAAAATAAAAAGTAAAGACAAAATTAAAAAAATTAAAGAAAAAGAAAAGTAAGATAAAAGAATAAATAAAAAAAAATAAAAAAATACACAAAAATGAATAAAACATGTAAACACAGAAAAATAAATCACACAAATAATGGTATAAACATCATTTTGCTTTTGATCTGATGATTCAGAAGCTAGGTTTGCCCAGGAGATTTTTTGTTTTTCATTATTTACTTTTTTATGATTTTCTTAACTTTACCCTTTTCTTTTGTAGGAAAAGTTCTCACATTGGGGCACTAATTTTTCATATATCAAGGTTTCCTACATCCAAAGCAAATAACGTAAGAAGTAATCTTAACATTCTTACCATTTTTATCTTTATTCAACTTTTGTTGATGCTTATGTTTTAGTGAGCTTTTCAATTTGCTTGGTAAGTCATCATTTTCGTCACCAACTAAGCCACTTTTCTGCATGTCTTCAGCATTTAGTACTATTGTTTCACCTGCATCTACAAGTCTTTGACCCAAACTTTGCTCATAGGAAATGAGTGAGCCAATCATATTATTATTAGAATACTCATTCAAATTTTTTGATTCACAAATAATAATAACTTTAACATCAAACTTATCAAGTAGACAACGTAGAATTTTATTATCTTTTTTAAAGTTTGAAAATTATTTACCTAAAGCATGCAATGATGTCACAATTTGAAAATACCTAGTATATATATCTAAGATCGTCTCATAAGGTTTCATGCAAAACATATAGTTCAGAATCATGCATTAAAATATTCAACTAGGATTGCTTGATTTCACTAGTGTCTTCATATATAGTGTATAATTTATCTCAAATTTCCTTACCAGTAGTGCACATAGGTACTAACATATAATATTCAGAATTTAAAGCATAGAAAAAATATTTTAAAGATTTTGCATTCAATTGAGCATTGATTTGTTCTTCCCTATTCCATTGATTAAAATGAATATCAGTTTTAATTCCCTCTATAACACGTGACAGTAAAGAATAACTAGTTAAAATTATTTGCCACATTTAGAAATCAATTGATTGCAAGAAAGTTGATAAGGAATTTTCCAAAAATAAAATATAATATTTTTAAAGAAAGGTGGTCTGGTGATTGAATAACCTTCTGCAATATTACGATTATAAAAATTACCCATTGATCAAAATTCAAAAGCTTTCAAAAACTTATTTTTATGAATATCTCTCTGATACCACTTGAAAGTTTGTTAGGGATGTTAAGCCCTTATGAACTAGTCCCAAGGCCAACCACGAGAGAGGTGAATTGGTATTTTAAAAAATCTTTCATAATAAAAAAACCAAACCAAAATCCACCACAAAGAAAATCAAAGTGCAGAAATTAAATACTGAAATAATAAAGGAAAGAACACACCAAATTTATAGTGATTTGGTCAAACCTTGACTTATGTCCACTCCTCAGAGGCACCCTCCGAGTATTGCACTAAACTCAGTGTCTCTCTTTTAGCCCCTACAACTAGGCAGAGAAGCCCTTACAAAATCATTTTCACCTTTCCCAGTGCGGCGGAGTAGCCGGGTCCTTTGACACCAAAGATATCTTCTTCTTCCCAGAACTTCCCTCAAGATAAGCCTTGAATCCGATGGTACTAGGGTGCAAGCTCACCGGAGCAACCGTGTGGAATCCCCCTCGACACTCTCTTGAAACCCCCTCCAAGGATCTTCTCCCTCTCTCAAACTCCACCCTTTCCTCTCTCCCTTTCAAGCTCTCTCTTCAAGTTTCATCCAAAAGAACGAAGCTATAATGGATGCCAAAGACACTTACTAAGTTCCTTGTCAAAGCTTAAATAGAAGAACTCAAAATAAGCTCATTAATTGTAACTTGCTGACTTTATCATCCAGGCCGATATGTATATTGTTATGGCTGATTAGTGTAAATTAAGCCCAATTTGCCAGGATGATTTGGGATGATCATAAGAAATTTGCTCATATCATTCAGGATGATAATATATTATCTTGGCCGATCAGTACAAATCATGGAATATCATCCTGAACATCACCCTGAATAAGAGCTGTTCGATGTCTGATCGTCCAGTTGATAATCCCTGCCGATTCTACGATCGTCCAGGATGATATGATCGTGTAATTAAATCTTAATTGCTTTCCTTAAATATTAGATTATATTAGGAAAAATTATGCTAGATCGGCCAGGACGATTCCCGGAACGATGCCTGGGATGATGCTAAAAAATAAGTAATACATAAATAGATCTGGCAACTGATTCTTTCTGATTTGAGCCTATCATCATGACAGATACAAAATTGTCCAGGACGATGTGTTTAATTACAGCTGCCTTAACAAGGATGCCCTGATTAGAGTTTTTATTTTTTAAACCGATCGTCACAGACGATATTACAAAAAATAGTAAACTCTAAGAACCAATTAGAAATTCTTCCAAAGTGCGTGTGTGCAAGGTTACTTAGCATCAGGAGCCACACCAATTACAATAGACTCAAGAAAGAAAAAAGGTATAAACTGACTCAGACCTAGTCTACCCAATATTGAGCTTGTTATAATTACAGTATGATCTTGCGCACCTAAAATGTCAGTAGGTAAGGATCGGAAGTCGTAGAGAAACAATAGTGTTTGTTATCATCAAAATCTTAATCCATGAATTTAGATTCGCAACAGCATACACCAGAGCCACTTCCCAATCAATAACATTCACAAACTTGAGCCTCCCCATGATACATTTATGAGCTTGGAAAAAAACCTGAAAAGAAATTGCACCTTTCTTCCACATGACTATGATGCCACCAGCCTGCCAATAGAAGGTTGAAACATGAAATCCCACTCTCTCCCTACCAGTTTATCAATGTCTCTTCTATCAATTAATTCCAACTTAGTCTCCAAAAAACTAATAAAACTGACATTGTGCTCCCCGATGAGGTGTCGTAAGTAAAAAATTTTCTACTTCTTATAAGCACCCTTACAATTACAGTATAAGAAACTAAACATGGTTTACCAAAGGGGAAGCGTCCCTGCCGCAAACTTCTTCAAAATTCTCACCATGATCAATGTAATTGATATTACCACCCATGATGGCCTCATGACTTTTCCTATCATCTTTATTCTCCACAACATTGATTAAATGTTCACTAGAGGATCCAATAGACTCTCGATCTTTGGTTCTTCTAACTCCAGACAGTTTCTATAAAGGGCCCATCCTTCCCAGTTCCTTGGCGTAACTTGCTTTGGCCTTACTGTCATATAGATTTTTAGTTTCAACACTCTGCCTTAGAGTCTGAAAACTTTAAGGTCTTGAGGATTAAAAGCTATGAAGGAGACACCCTAGAATTGGGATCCCATTTGGTTCTCTCCCACCTCATCCTTTTCAAAAAGGGTTGGCTTTTATCTTCCGAGAATCCATTGCCCCCATCTTTAGTTATCTACTTTGCACGTAGTCCAACACCTCTTCTTCCATATTCTTAACAGGAGGTTGTGCCAATTCCCATTCATATGATTACCTCATAATCCTTGGAAACCCCCAACACCCACCTAAGGATTCCCTATTTCGAAGCCTTTCCACATCATCTGCTTCACTTTTCTGGTCATTTGATAGCCCCTTATAATCAGCCCTTTCCTCAACAGTCAGACCCTTACCCATGACATTTGGCATATATTTCATCTCCCCAACAGGAGGTTTGGTCATGGCTTGATTATCGACTGATTTCTAAACTTTAGCAACTTCCCTCCAAACCTCTTTACTAGTAGTTTTTGTAGCCGGACCAATTTACCCATAATTAGGTACCTATGATTTCATTCCAGCTCTAAAAAGATTTAGCCTTCTTCTTCTTCTAGTCACAATAGTCCATTCTCCATATTCTTTATCAACATCTGAAGAGCTCGCATTCAACACCCCAGTTCTAATGGCCTGGTTTGCACTTCCAGCCCGATCCAACTCTGCCTCCTTCCCCTGTCCGGAATTAGCAGCCCAAGGATAATTCTGTACATGAAAACTCTTCCTTACCTGTTGCATTGGCTCCCTACATCCCTCAGCCTTGTGTCCAACCTTACCACGATCTAAATAAATTAGTGGAATTCCTTCAAACTCTGTTGGCTGAAAAAAGGTTCCACCCAGACCTTGAGCCCACACACCTTTAGGCAATCTCTTGGATAAGTCCAAGAGGATGCAGACACATGCAAAAGCACATCTATTGTACTGCTTGGTCTGTTCATCCATGAACAATGGTTCCCCAACACCGACAACCAACCTCGCCAGGTTTGCCTCAACCCAGTATTCCAATGGCAAGTTTGGGAGCCTAAGCCAAACAGGCAACGTAAACTTTTTTACGGATTCGGACATACAACGTACCAAGTATTTGACCTACAATGTAACTCGGTATTCTCCTATTCCACTCTAATTATTTGACCTACAACGTACCAAGGTCCCCCAGTCAATACATTATCTCTTGCTTCCATATCCTCAAACCAGCAGAGAAAGCAGTCTGATCCCATGAGAGTGATCTGGGATAACCCAAAGTATCCCCACTTCCTTTGTAGCTCATTTTGAACAACCCAAAATGGCACCCGTCGTCATAAGAGGCTGCCAACAAGCGCTCTTCAAAGTTTCTGAATATTTCTTCTTGCCTTATTGAGGTCAAGCTTAACCAAGCCATCTTCCCATAGAAAATCTTTAACATCATCATATAGATTTAAAGCAACTGGCATTATTTTCTTCCAGGCATTTGTAGCTGTCCTAGTGTCATCCACACCTCTTTCGAATGACCTGGCGAGTTCCTGTCCCTGTTGCAATGTGAGAGTTTCAACATAAACATTTTTGCGAACACTTGTTGTTCGTACTCGGGCACTGAAGGAGTCACTACCATTGATCTTGCTACAACTAGTAACATCACCAGTACCTCCAAAATTAATACGTGGTTTAACCCTATAAACATTTATACTCACCTCCTCGACATCCCGACCCAGGGAAATTTTGTCCAGGTCCCTCACTAGTCCCACGTTACGAAATATAAATTGCAACCTGTTTGGTTCAAACGTGGGGTTATCCAACATTTTGTGTACCTCAATCTGGGCAAAGGAGGTATGAAGCCCAATCTTGCCAGCATCCAGCACATCTGTCTACACCGTGTCGACGGTCATTTCATTAAGTGCATTTGAACTAGTCTCCTCCATCGGGACCATCGATCTAGCATTAGCCTGGACCTCTTTCAAAAATTCCTCAACCTCATCCCTGCCCATGATCGCCATGACTTCATGAACGTTAGGTTTAACCTGTAGATACATTCTTTGGTTCGTCCTTTTGGCATTCAATTTAACCCCCCCCCCCCCCCCCCCCCCCCTCCCCCCCCCCCCCACCCCCCCCCCCCCCCCCCTCATCTCTAGATGCGACACCAAGACCACCCATCCTCTCAGATGCAACTAAGTCCCCCGATTTAGCGCTCCCAGCCCGGCGATGAGGCCTACCAAGACCTCTACAATCAACCCCAAGCACCTCCCCAGGTGGAATGCCATGCATAGCAACCTTCACGGGAACCACACTGCCTCCCGACCTAGTACTCCCTGCCTTAACAGGAGACCGGATATAGACAAGCTGTTTCTTCACATCTCCATTATCCGCCACACTGCTCATCCTCGATAAAGAGGACCTCCTCTCATTATTATCCCCTCCTTAACTCGCATCAAAGGCTCCCAAACAACTACCCTCAACAACATTCTTCCCCCCATCCCTCCGAACTTCTCCCACCAATAGCATTCCTCCCTCCGTCGCTCCTTGGCGGGTGACGAGGGGGTTAACTCCAGTCACCCCCCACCATACCCCACGAGCAATTGTGAGTAAGCCATAACAACCGGATCTTGTTCTTGAGAGAAAAATCTCTCAAGCGAAGTTGTGCGGACCCGTGATATAGAGAGAGAGACACAGAGAGAGAGAGGAAGAGAGAGAGAGAGAATAAGAGATAAAGAGAGAGACATAGAGAGAAAGAGAGTGTAAGAGAGAGAGAGAGGGAGAGAGAGAGGGGATAGAGAGAGAAAGAGAGAGAGAGAGAGAGAGAATGAGAGCGAGAGAGGGAGAGAGGGAGAGAATGAGAGAGTGAGCAAGAGAGAGAGAGAGTAAGAGGGAGCTAGAGAGAGTAAGAGAGAGAGAGTAAGAGAGAGAGAAAGAATGAGAGAGTGAGTGAGAGAGAGAGAGAGAGAGAAAGAGAGAGAGAGTGAGAAAGAGAGAGAATGAGAGAGAAGAAGAGAGAGAGATAGAATATGAGAGTGAGCAAGAGAGAGAGACAGAGAGAGAGTTAGAGAGAGAGTGAGAGAGAGAGAGGGGGAGAGAGAGAATGAGAGAGAGAGAGAGAAAGAGCGAGAGGGAGAGAGAGAGAGAGGAGGGAGGGAGGGAGGGAGAGAGAGACATGGGGAGGGAGGGAGAGAGTGAGAGGATAGAGAGGGGAGAGAGAGATGAGATAGAGAGATAGGGAGAGAGAGAGAGAGAAAGAGAGAATGAGAGAGAGAGAGCAAGAGAGAGAGAATGAGAGAGTGAGTAGGAGAGAGAGAACAAGAGAGAGTGAGTAAGTGAGAGAGTGAGAGAGAGAGAGAAGAAAGAGATGAGGGAGAGAGAGGCGAGGGAGAGAGAGAGAGAGAGAGAGAGAGAGAGAGAGAGAGAGAGAGAATGAGGGAGAGAGAGAGAGGGGGGAGAGAGACAGTGATAGAGGGAGGGAGAGAGAGAGAGAGAGAGCGACAGAGAGAGAGAGAGATAGAGAGAGAGAAAGAGAGAGAGATGAACTTAGAGAGAGAGAGAGATGAACTTTTGCATTTGCATTCATATAAAGACCATTATAACTAAGTAAAATAAAGAAAGTTCCAACATGCTCTAAGCCAAAAAGTAAGAACTACCAACTTCCTCAAGAATATAAAAAATTAATGAGGATTATAACTACTATTACTCTCTCATATCCCAAGTAAAGGTATCCTTAATTGCCCTTTGGGCACAAAATAGAGCAGCCTTAGATCTAGGAAGAGCTCCATCAATAGTAACCTTCAACCAACCTGTAGGGGGGAGACACCAAGAAGAATCTGAAAACAATCCAAAAGATTGAAAAGTATCCTGTTGCTCCAAGTGGAAAGAAAGAAAACCTTGATTGAGACCATCCAAGATGCATGATGCCATGAAGATACAACCCATTATTAACCAAATGGGAAGCATCCCCACCACTAATGTTTTCAGGAAACACATCCTACATTAGGAAGGCAATCACACCGACCATATCCACATCATAAACCTCCATGCAATCCGATTCTTCTATGACATTAGTCGGTTGTTCAAGAAAAGATGTTTCTTCCATAGTTGGTTTGCCTCCAACTTCTATAGTACTCCCACTTCCCTTTAAACAACCCAATTTATCCCTAATATTAACCAAAAGCTCCTTAGAGGAGGCTGCCAAACCAATTTCAGTAACTTTCCTTCTTCTCATGCAAGGCAATTTTAGTAAAGAACCAATATGAGCAATTTCTCTAGCAACAATGGAGTTCCTATCATGCTTTCTCTTAGGTTTCAACACCCCAGATTTATTGTTGGAGAATTTCAACATTTTAGGCACTAAAGTCTAATTGAGAGACTCTAGTTTACTCCTATCTTTCTAGTTCCTTCTCCCCACCATCCTTAAATCATAAGAATGCCCAAATCCTCTTGTACTTACTTCCTTGTCAATTTTCGCTTCACTACTCTATTCCTCACCTGAAAAAAAATGCCCAGATTTCTATACAAAGGACTGCAAAGCATCACCCCATGCCATAGCATCTGTAGATACCGCACAGCTTGGCTCCTTACCAATTAAATTAAATTCAGCATTATGTTCAGCAAATTATATACCAGACAGCTCCATACCCAAAACACTATTTCTAGAATTCAATACAACAAAATCCATTCCTATCTGATCCATTCCCACATCAATAATTCCAGATTTACAATCAGCATTTCAAACAAAAGACTGTCTATCAATTTGCTCCTTACCTAAAACCAAAGCTTCAACATTTTGTACATTCGGATGCCCAATATCTTCCTTCACCTGCTTATTTACACCAAAGGATAAACACCCTTCCTCCAACACCTTACCAACATGATTCGTGCCCATTAAAATAAGATTTGTATTACTTTTGGCTTTTTGAACTTCCCTCCTAACAGATTTAGGAGCTGTAGCATTAGGAGCTAGCTTGTTATTAATAACTTGAGGCTTAACTCTAGTTCGAGCATTATTGATTTACTTCTCCTGGTGACAATAGTCCACTCCCCAAAGTCCGAATCAACAACCATTAAATTATCATGAGACAATCAAGCTTCCATCTTTACCTTTCCTTTTGACATACTGGAAACAAAAGAATCTACATTCACCAAGCCCACACCCCGCCCAGAATCAACCACAGAATGCTCTCCTTTACTCCTTAAAATTTGTTGCCTAGTCTGACCATAATCTTCCTTACACAAAACCGCATTGCGTCCAACTTTACCACATCTCAAACAAATCGAATGCATTCCTTCATATTCATTTGGTTGGAAAAAATTCCCTCCCAATCCCTGTGCCCAAACACCTTTAGGCAGCCTTTAGACAAGTCCAACCTAACACAAATTCTTACAAAAGCACATCAATCCCATGATCTTGTAAGTTCATCCATAAACAGAGGCTCTCCAATACCCAGCAAGTCTAGCCAAATTAAACTCATCCCAGTATTCCAACAGTAAGTTTGGGAGCCTAATCCAAACCGGAGAAGTGAAACCTCACAAGGATTTAGTTGTTGCACCTACATTCCATTGATCAATACCAATAATTTACTCGATAATGTACCAAGGCCCTCCAATCAATATATTATTTCTTGCCTCCATATTTTCAAACCAACATAAAAAATAATTAGCTCCCATAGGTGTGATTCTAGTAAGGCCAATATGCCCCCATTTGCGTTGGAGATCGTTTTGAACCACCCAAAATCGGAGACGTCAACCCAACAAGCTTCCCACAAGGGCCCGGTTCAACCTATGGATGTTACCTCTGGCCTTATTCAGATCTAACTTCACAAGCCCATCCTCCCGTAAGAAATTCCCAACATCCTCGGACAAACATAGTTTGACCGGCATAGGCTTTCTCCAAGCATTAGTAGCAGCCATACTACCTTCAGCTTCCATCAAAACAGACCTGGAGGGCACTGATTCCCGCAAAGGTTGTCATGAGGAAGAATTCTCAGTTGAAGCAATATCAAAAATAGGTAATGTTCATGAAGACTCCAAAGGTAAACTGGAACTATCGGTACCTACATCTTTCCCCCTAAACGACTGGGCAAACCCAGTTACCACATTAACATTCCCAG